AGTGGATGAAGTGGTGCTAAAAGCATCTGACATTCTCTGTGACAAGAGGGTACCACAAAAGCTTAAAGGCAAGTTTTACAAAATGGCGATTAGACCCGCTATGTTGTATGGAGCAGAATGTTGGCCTACAAAAAGACGACATGCCCAACAAATGAGTGTCGCAGAAATGCATATGTTGCGCTGGATTTGTGGTCACACAAGAATTGACCGAGTTCGGAACGATGATATACGTGATCGTCTAGGGGTAGCACCAATTGAAGAAAAGCTTGTCCAACATCATTTGAGGTGGTTTAGCCATGTACAAAGGAGACCTTCACAGGCACCAGTACATTGTGAAGTCCTAAGTCGAGATACCATTGTGGGGAGAGGTAGAGGAAGACCGAAACTGACATGGGGAGACAATAAAAAGATATTTGAAAGGTTGAGATATACCTAGAGATCTTTATTGGAATAGGAGTGTTTGAAAAGTTGCCTGAACCATGAATAGGGGCTCCTGTTGGGTTTCAACTCTAGCCTACATAACTTGTTTTGGACTAAAAGGCTTTGTTATTGTGGCGGTGGTTCCAATTCTTCTCTTTCGGCATGTACATTAGACAAGTACTCGGCATTTGACACATCATCCCAAGTAAACATGGATAAATCAGAACCACACACCCAAACTCACAGTACATGCTTCCTCCATACTAAAAAATAAAGTCGTTTTGGACAAGACTTAGGTTAAACATTGGGAATATAAATCATGAATGACTTTTAAGTTGTTGAGTTTAAAAATGTAAAAACCATATGTATAGATTTGTCTTGAAAAATACTTTCACAAAAATTTACATATATCACTTTTTGATAAATATCTTTATAAAAATAAGTAGTCAAAGTTATGCTTCGGAGACCTGTCACTGTCAAAACGACTTTATTTTTTTTAGTACGGAGGGAGTATGTTTTTTTAATAATGAACTCACAGTATATATGTTGTTTATGTGATCATCATTAAGAGTCCTTAATCATCATACACACACACATACGGGTCAGTCACAGATACAAACGACGTAGGCAGGCTTGCATTGGTTGTTTCGTCTGGGGATCAGGCCTGTCTCTAGTCCAACGTGGCGTCCATCTGGAGGACAGTGCTGAGGTTCATGGGGCTGACGTAGTCGAGCGAGCCGGACATGAACTGGCTGACGATAAACCGGTTGGCGCGTTCCGTGGGGTGGTACGGGTCCCAGAACACGTACTTGCTCCGGTCGGCGCACAGGTTGGACGCCGCCGTGCACAGCCCCAGCCCGTTGTGGGGGCCCTGGCCGCAGCACGCCTCCTTGGCCGTGGCGAATCCGAACGCGGCCGGGTCGCTGACGAAGTCGAAGTGGACGCGGAACGCGTTGGCCGCGATGAAGGTGCCAGCGCCGAAGCGCGCGTTGAGCTGGTCCAGGGCGCGCGCCAGCTGCGGGTTGAAGAGCGACGCCGCGCGCATCAGCTCCGCGGCGCACTCGCCGTTGCGGCTGCGCTGCGCCAGGATCGCTGGCGCGCACCCGAGGGGACCCGTGCCCGTCACCAGCACGCGGCGGCAACCCATCGCGTACAGCCTCTGCATGCATGCACGCGTGCAGCAGTCAGAGACACCATAACAATGCAAGCAGTCAGAGAGATCGATCGAGTGAACTCGTGCGCACGATGAGGATCTTCTTGTACTCGGAGACGATGTAGCGGACGTAGTCCGGGAGCGAGAACTGGCGGGAGCGCAGGGAGAAGGGGACGAGGTAGTAGTTGTTGACGAAGTCGTTGCCGCCGAGCGTGATGAGCACCAGCGAGCGGCGCACCATCTGCCGCGCCCGGGCCGCGCCCACCAGCGCGCGCAGCTTGCCCTGGTACTCGCCGAAGTACTGCAGCTGCCGGCTCATCCTGATGATGTCCACCTGCATATGCATGCATGGGTCTTCAAATCAAATATATATAAGAGTTCCTGATGGATTGGGCACGACGACCAGCACTACTCACGAACTGGAAGCCGGTGTCGTTGAGGATCCCGACGCCGGCTGACGCGAAGTTGGCGCCGACCAGCAGCTTCTGGCCGCGGAGCTCGGGGCTCAGGTACGGCAGCGTCGGCTCGGCGCCGAGGTGCTCGCCTGCATCCATGACAGATGCATGCACGGAGTAGTTAGCGCGCGCGTACGTGGCAGCACCACATACGAGAGAGAGAGAGAGAGGAAACCGGCCGGCCGTACTGATGATGTCGGGGATGTTTTTGCCGTTGGAGAAGCGCCCCGTGGGGCGGTGCGTCGGGTAGTCGATCCCGTACGGCGGCGAGTCGGCGCGCGCCGTGGTCGTGAGGTAGTTGTTGTTGCCGTTGTCCACCAGCGAGTCGCCGAAGACGAAGAAGGCGCGCGCGCACTCCGACGGCCTCGCCAGCATGCCCACGGCCAGCAGCACGGCCGCCAACAAGGACAAGGAGGCGCTGCCGCTCCTGCTCATCGATCGGTCCTTGGAGTAGGTGAAGCGTTCAATCATGGATTCTGGCTTCATGCACAACGCCACCTGCAGGGTGCAGCTCCAGGGCTGTTTATATAGCTAGCATTGGCATTGCTCACGTGGGGCAGCAGAATGGTCGCATCCGATGGGACGGAATTAATCGAGCCACAATCTTAGATGCATGCGCACCACCGCATGAAACTAATTGAATTGCTCCGCGCTTCACTCATAAATTAACCTCCAAAGCTGCTGCTTGCACGTTCCTTCATACACACTATACCTTTCCCGATCAGTACGGAGTAAGTTGTACTACTCTTATGTAATCACGCATATATACAATTCAGGATTATTTAAGATGACGTAATTAATTCTCTCGAACGTGTAGATTAGAATGCCATCACTCACAATTTTTTATGGAATAGCAGCTATTTATTTCTACCGGAGCTTTAAGATCGATCGTTGGTACTTGCATCTCCTATGTCTTTTGCCCGTGAGATGTGACCGTGGAACAACCACCCTACTACTGAGAAACAACAAACTAACTAAGCCTCGTGTTTAGCCCATCATATGTCGTTACTGATCGCTCGTACGACCCCTCATTAACCTCCGATTGTTTTCTGGTCACCAGTGATGAGAGATAAAAGAACGGCCCTAAGATAGGTCCAGGTCCTTAAATACTTGCCAGTTCCGGCAGTTCTGACGAGTTACTCTGGCTTTATTATCTCCTTTCTTTCTTTCTTTCTTTATTTCATTCAGAACACACAACAACAAGGGCTTGAGTTCATTGGATGAATGAAAGCGGAAGCACTGCACCACCTGAAAACTGACGGTACGGTGCGCTTCCAAATCCAAAAGGAAAAGTACGTTGTCACCAGGCGCAAATGGACCAAGCTGTGATTTTTCATCGGCTTCTCTGGAACTTCATTTTATACTCTGCCCCCGGTCGCCGGCGGGGCAGAATGAATGAATCTGCCACGTGTTAGTTCCATCCATGTATTAGATTCAGATTGGCCCAAGCAAATCTAGACGTCCTACTAGAGTAGTTTCAAAGTGCATTTGCTGATGAAGATAATGCGGCTGGCACCTCAAAAGTGGATGGAATCACGCCAGGATCGGTGACTGGTGTGAGCATGTCTTGCCGCATTCCTAGCTAGCTCTGCATGTACGCATCGGGACATGTACAGCCATGCGTGACCGATCGACGATCGGGCAATCCGCGGCCCAGCCTTTTGTGTTTGCCTTCTTCGAATTCGGAGCAGCACACGCTGCACGCCACTACCCCGCCCAGCAGGCAGCAGGGGTTTTGCCTCCACTGCACTGCAAGTCTGCACCGTCGGCGAACGGAACGGTACACGCTGTGGCGTAACCTGTATAGTCTGTAGACGGCCAGGCTAGGAAGTAGTGACGCCTATCGTTCGTCCTGCTTGGCACTTGGCAGCATTGGCTCGCCTAATCTAATCCCATGGCACCTCAATTTTCAGGCCATTCGCCCTAGCACTAAAGCCCCTAACCACTTCTTTTGCCCGGCCGCCGCCAGGTTGATCCTGATACCAATCCGAGACGTCGCGTCGCCGACCGCCGACCGGCCGTGACAGCAACGCGCTAGCCGCAGGCTGTGCAAGTGCGGCGAGGAGCACGTACGGCAGCGACATCAGCAGCAGATCAGCTAGTTTGGAGACTAGAGCCTTCTTTGGCCTGGCTCCCTTTCCCTTTGCCTTTTAGGCTCTCCAGCTCGTGACTGTAGCACATTGTTGTACAGCGGCTCTGGTCTCGTCTACAGTGGATGGATAGGGATGAAAAGTGGCAGAGCCGAAATCATCCAAAAACCATACCAAACAAACCTCAAGTCGTAGAATACCAAGGCCCCTTACATACAACAACGCACAATATTTTTCTTATCATCAAAATAATAAAACATGTCGTGCTCTCTTCTCCATAGGCCTTCTTCCTCTCTATCCCGTGTGCCATCTCTCTATCCCGTGTGCCATCGATGACAGTTAGCTCAGTACTACAGTTTATGATTGTAACTAGCGCTAATCTTTGTGATTTCTAGAGCTAATCTTTGTGATGCAGATGCACGCTATCATGCCGTGCATACTGCTCTACCAAAGTCTAATGACAATGACCGTGTACATGTAGCTCCAAGCTGATCTCTCATCCAGCTGAAAACTACTAAATCTGACGTGCCCGACTATTGGATCGTAGCATAGAAGCACAAGATCTGTCCGACAATGACAAAACAGAACGGCAATCCGATTTTACCTCAGCCAAAAAAATGTATTATCAGACTACAGTTGGTTCGGCACAAGGCGTCAGAATCCAATCTTGATCTACAGCTTCAGATCTCAAAGAACTACTGTTCATATTTATTATTCCCACACTATAGCTCCGTTTGGTGCTATTGAGAGGTCCTACGTCCGCAGACTCAAAATTGTATCAGCCTGACAACCAACTCATCATCGACCAAAATACAGTAGAGATGAACTTGCACCACCAAAAAAAAAGTCTCTGCTTTCATGTGTATCGTGGGTGTGCTGGTCTTAGTAGTCCATTCCACCCATGCCACCCATTGCTGGAGCCGGTGCCTCTTCCTTGGGGATCTCTACAATTATGGATTCCGTGGTGGTCATCAGGGACGACACACTGCAAGATGTGAGGGCAAACTTGTTAACAGCAGGATAAAAAGCAGACAGCAATACCTAAGTTCAAATTAACAAATTTAGGTCATCAAGACCAGCTGAACAAATTGTTGCCAATTCAATAGCCATTTTGAACATTACAACCTCACCATTGTTGGCTGTTGGCTGATAGTTCATCGTGGAAACTAGTTGATAACTTCCTACTGTTCAAAATAACAGTTAAAAAAACAGGTCAGTTTACCTAGCAGCATCCACCAAAGCAGTTCTGATCACCTTTAGTGGGTCAATGATACCAGCTTTCACCATGTCAACATATTCGCCTGTACAGTATTCATGACATATCAGCAAACATATGTACAAAAATCCCCACCCTTAGCATCTGATCACGTTTGAGAATTGACAGGCAAATGCTGAGACATCATACCTTTAGCAGCATCATAACCCAGGTCAGTATTTCCTTGCTCCAAAAGCTTGCCCACAACTACTGCTCCCTCCACCCCAGCATTGGAGGCAATGGTGTGTACAGGTGTCTGCATATAAAATATTCCACTCAGCTTACCACACAGTTAAAAACCGTACAAGTCTGGAAAAAAATTCCAATTTTTATTCCCCCTGGACCTTCAAAGCATTCTGAATGATTTGAACACCAATCTTCTGATCAAAGTTCGCTGTCTGCAATTTATCAAGCTCCTTCGATGCATAGAGAAGAGCAACACCACCACCTGCATATACAATTAAAGATAGACTATTAGGCATACTGACGCAACAGGAAATCAGTAGGAGTAACTAACACAAAGGAAATCAGCATAAACGTCCCATGCACTCTGCCACTCTAAATGATACATTACCTGGTACAATACCCTCTTCAACGGCAGCTTTAGTAGCATTCAGTGCATCTGTCACTCTATCCTTCTTCTCACCAACTTCTGCTTCGCTGGCTCCTCCAATCTAGGAAAGGAGGCACACAGGCACAAAATCAGCAAATATCAGACAGCCACAGGTAACAGTTATTACTATAGAAAACAAAACTGTTTGAAACATGTAATCTGTCATTAGTAAATACATAGGTCAATAACCTCACCTTCAGTACAGCAACACCTCCAGAGAGCTTTGCCAACCGCTCCTGGAGCTTTTCCTTATCGTAATCTGAAGTGCTATTCTCAATTGCTGATCTAATCTGCAACATCCATAAATTATCAGAACCAGAAAGTTAGAAGCAATTTAAGTAAGCACACAATAAGAGTAATATTGCATGAACCTGATCTGCCCTCTCTTCAATAGACTTCTTGTCTCCAGCTCCATCAAGAATAACAGTGTCATCCTTAGAGACGGTAACCTGCATTGAAAAGAAGTCATTCAGCACATAAAATAGTAATATCAAAGTACAAGAATCAATGAACATGTCAGAAAATAGAAAATACAATACTATTAAATCCTCTATTATACCTTTTTGCATGTACCCAGCATGTGAGGCTCAACATTCTCAAGGTTCATTCCTAGCTCTTCAGTTATTACCTGAATCATGATAAACGCAGATATCAGACATGCTATTTTGAATTATACAAAGAAACAAAATGCACAACAGAAACAACTGTGAAGCCTACCTCTCCTCCAGTAAGGATAGCGAGGTCCTGTAAGTTTGCCTTTCTGTTTTCTCCAAAACCAGGAGCTTTGACAGCACAGACCTGAACACCGTTCCAATTAGAACTACAGAAATGGTACCAAACACAGAAACTTGACAGAACCAACCTACCTTGATGCCTGCACGAAGCTTGTTAATAATGAGAGTGCCCAAAGCTTCACTTTCCACATCTTCTGCAACAATCAGTAGAGGCTTTTGTTTCTGTTCCAAGCAAAGAATGAAAAAAAAATGAATCAGTAAAGGCCACAATGATACCAATACTGTTACCGCTAAATGAGAGCAAACAGATTACCTTTAGAGCCATTTCTAAAACCTTCACCACAGCGTGCATATTTGTAACCTTCTTGTCATGAATTAAGATCAATGGGTCGTCCAATTCCTGTGACACAAAAAGTACAACTAAGATATTCTTGTGGTGTACACAACCAAAGGTCTCAGAGAAACATATATAGAGGTAAAGGGCACTTACACATTTCTGGGTTTTTGAGTTTGTAATGAAGTACGGAGAGATGTAACCTCTGTCAAGTTTCATACCCTCCACAACTTCCAGCTCATTATAAAGGGTGTTGCCGTCCTTTAGAACATTTAAATCAGTAAATTGAAACAGCACAACGCAGAAAAGAGCAATTTGAGGAAGTCAGAAAAGACAAGAATGAAGCATACAGCACTGTAGCAATTAATTGATCTTTTTATAATAACATGTACCAAGGGTGTGGCCCAAACTTTTGAGAAATATTTCTATAACTAACGTTGTGACGTGGCCAAACAAGGAAACAATCACAATGTGCATTTATCAGCACAAGTACACCTCACAAACAGAACCATGTAGAGTTGTAGACAATTAGAATCACTGAAGCTGTGTGCATGAGCCAACTTATCCTCAGTGTTGGACCGTAAGGTTTAGATACTAGTGCAAGTGGACTAATCATACAGTGGAAACAGAAGGGTCCGTAGAGGAATAGCCTAAAAAGGTATCTCAGGTAAGCTTTGGTTTTAACTTACCGCAATAGTGATCACACCCTCTTTGCCAACCTTCTCCATAGCCTTGGCAATAAGCTCACCAATTTCCCTTTCCCCATTTGCTGATATTGTACCCACCTTTACAGGATAGAGAGAGAATTGAGAGAGAGAGAGAGAGAGAGGGATGGACATGATAAGAACAAAATAAAGTAACTAGAGCCTTGCAGATATACCTGTGCAATTTCTTCTGAAGTGCTGATCATCCTGGCCATGCTCTTAAGATTGGTCACAACAGCATCAACAGCCATTGAGATTCCACGCCTTAAATCCATTGCATTCATTCCAGCCGCGACAGATTTGCACCCCTCAGTAAATATTGCTTTTGTCAAAACAGTGGCACATGTGGTACCTGAAATTTTTGGATATCAGATCAGGTACAGTTAGAAGAAAGCATCACCAAGCTACAATTCAACAATACAAGGCACATATTTTATTTTAGACCGGTCAGACTTTTAACTATTTTTCTCAAAATATATTATTGATAGCTACAAGACCAATATAGTTTGAAACAACTTTGGAATACGAATCTAATTGTATGATTTTTATACAATAGAACATCCCTAAAATTTCATTAATTGTTTGTCAACATATACAAACTTTTAACTTATTCCAAGATGCAATATGCCTCTTTTAAGGAGGGAGTGAGTATTATTAGCAGCACAGCAAGAAATTAGATAACCTTATATAATTTTATTATGAAGAAGCAACTAAAAGCTGGTATTCACACCAATAGAAAAATAACAGCGTGCACACCACCAGACCTAACAAACTTCACAAAATAGCAAAGGCAATAAGTAGCGTACTGAACATATTGGAATCACAGACTACAGTTCCCAAAGACTCAAACAGTAAATGTGTAGCAACAGTGGAACCAAATAAACAGCACCATCTGCTCCAGGAACACAGGAATACTTCCACACAAGTACTACCTCCAACCCAAAATAAGTCTTCCTCTTGCATACCGAGAAGTCAAACAATCTTAACTTTGATCAAATATATACCAAAAAAAACTAATATTTGTGATACGAGATAACATCATTAGATTAATCATGTCATACATTCCCATAGTAATCCTATTTGGAGATACAAATATTGATACTATTTTTTATAAACCTAGTCAAAGTTGAGATTGGTTGACTAAAGGATGCCATACCATCACCAGCAGTGTCATTAGTTGCGTTAGCAACTTGTTTCACAAGGCTTGCACCAACATTCTTTACTCTATCCTTAAATTCAATGCTCTTCGCAACAGTCACACCATCCTTTGTGACTTTCGGTGCACCAAAGCTTTGTTCAATAACCACATTGCGCCCCTGCAGAAGGCAGGCAATAAGTTCAAGTACAAAACAAACAACTAATGCAACAGTATTACAACAGAGTAAAACACACCAAGCAATATTATGCAACAGTATGACAAACTAATGAGCATTTGTAGTTCCTAGAATATTGACATAAGGAAGGAAACTGACTTATGGAAGTGTTCAGCATAACTAGAAGGCGAAGCTGTGTTCTATTAAGAAAATTTGGTAGTCATTCATATTGTTCAGGTAACTGTTTGTCATCTGTATAAGAACAGTGGTTATACCTTTGGACCCATTGTCACTTTGACCGCATCTGCCAACTCCTCAACACCCCTCAACATCAGAGCACGGGCCTCAACACCAAACTTGATGTCCTTGGCAGCATAGTTCCTGCTCCAGGCAAGCCTGCTTCCAACCTACAAAGCATCACACACAACAGCTGAGAATGAGCACATTCAATTTGAAGCCACGTGATCAATTAGAGACTGCCTTGCCCCCAAGGTTACACGACAATAATATCACAAATTTCACAAGACATCGATTTCTGCTGGATAAGATCAAAGTTTCCCAGCTGCCTATCAGTGCATTCGAGGTCTAACAGCTAACTGGACCACGGTAGCGACGAGATAACCACCGTAGATTAATGTAAAGCCCCTCACAGAGAGCTAGCTTAGATCTTGCACTAGCGAACTACAGATTCCGGCAGATCGCCACCAAAACAAAAAGCACCATGCAGCAAACCCCAAACCCACTGAATCCTAAGCAATCTAAAGTAGCAGTCTCTCCAAAAGATTCAACTAAAGTCTAAGCCCTGCACGCAGAACTACCAGAACCCTCATTACCAAATCTGAGAGCGGGGTCCTCGTCAGACCCATCACAACTACGCCCAGCAACACGAGTCTGCTCTCACCTGGCGAGCGGCGGAGCTGCTCCCGGCTTGCCGCACCTTGGAGGCGAGGCTAGCGGCCGCGCGGTACATGATTGCGGAAGGAGGCGCGGGGACCGAGGCTGTGGTCGGCGAGAGCTTTGTGTGGTGTGGAAGAACGGAGGCGGCGGAGAGTTGCTTCGCTTCTTTCTTGCGGAGGGGGAAAGGACGCGAGGCGCCGAGGAGGTGGGGGACGGGTGGTTTTAGAGAGCGCGGCGGCTCTAGAAGCATCCACTAGGGTTTAGGGTTTTACTCGTTGTTGATTGATCGCCTTTGCGATGGGGTGCGGCCGCGGCAGCCAGCACAGGAGCTGTGGTCGTCCAAGTGGGCTTAGATGTTTCTGGGCTGCGGCCCGCCACTTCTAACCCATCAATCTGAATATCACGGCACAGGCCCACCCAGCGAATATGGAAAATATCCTTTTGCTTTCGGAAATGCTCCTGTCCGACCTGCTTCATGCTTTTTTTACTGGACCACAGTCTATATAATCGGCCAACGACCTAACAGTTTTCACATTTTCTCTCCCACGTCGCTGCTCATCTCCCTCACGTAGTTTCTCATCTCCCTGACGAAGACGCGGCTGCTTGTCGCCCCGATGACGTCACTGGCCGCCTTACTCACTGGTTTCCTTCCTCACGGCCCTGCCTGCCCACGTCCGTCCTTGTTCTTCCCTCGCTACTACACCCGCTCGCCGTTCTACCTTGCCTCCATGGCGGCAATGTGGATCTAAGTAGACACCCCTATGGTGAGATATTTCTCGGCTATAAAATCCTCCATGGTTGGGTGTCTCTCAACGATGAACTACACATTGGAGGTGTGTCCTCGCTAGCGACAAGCTCCTCCATGGTAGCCAGGCTCCTTCACAGACAAGCGCAATCGGATTTCCATTCTACGACGGGTTATGTTGTAGTATGTGATATGGATTTTGCGGTGTTGCAACAGTCGATTTGAGATGTTGCAACATGTGTTTTCTAGATGTTACAATAGTCGATTTAAGATGTTGCAATATGTTTTTTTGAATGTTACAACTGTCGATTTAAGATGTTGCAACAGTCGATTTGAGATGTTGCAACATTTTTTGAATGTTGCAACAATCGATTTAAGATGTAGCAACATGTTTTTTTGGATGTTACAACTGTCGATTTAAGATGTTGCAACATGTTTTTATTTTGAATGTTACATGAGTTTCAGTAAGTTGCAAACCTTTGTTCTTAAATGTTACAAGCAATGATTAACATCTAATCCATTTGTCTCTCTTTCCATCTCTCACCCTCACGTACGGCAAGGTGCGGTGTCCGTAAGTGCTATAGGAAGTGCAACCACCATTACACTATTGCATCATAGGAGAAAGAAGGGAGCCAAAAGGGGACGAGCGTTGGGGTGGGACGGGTAGAGCGAAAGCCTCTAGATCCGAAAGGGAAGGAGCACACTGAAGCCTCTAGATCCGAAAGGGAAGAAGCGCCGGGGTGTGACAGGTAGAGCGGAAGCGTCTGGATCAATTGTTTATATTTGGACATCCGGACACTAGTATTTCCCTTTTGTTTTCGGGCGTAATCTGTTTTTCTTCTTTACCTTTAAAACAAGAGAAAATTCCGTGTGTGCCATTGAATGATTCCACAATTCCGGGCAAACCACTGGATCTTTGATTTGGACATGAGTGCCATTAAAATTAATTTTACGTTCCATGAGTGCCACTGCCGTCAAGACCGTTAGGTTTCTCCACCGTCAACTAGTGTGGAGTCTCTTAATTTTTCCAAAAATCCCAAATTTACCCCCTGCCCTTTGGGTGAACTTGGCGTAGTCAATATCCCCGAGTCCCTATACCCACATCATCGCTTCTTCCCCGACCGCAGGATCCACGATCCTCTCCATCCGCTCCCTCCTCATACAAATACCTATCCCATGACTCACCGTGATTACTCTGGAAACATCGACTCCCCAAAAAAAAGGAAAAAAAGAGAAATCCCGTCCACATGGCCTCCGCTCAACCCGGGTATGCCTCCGCTCCTCCCTTCAGGGCGCCTCCTTGATCACAAGACGCCTGCAGATCTGCCATTGCCCTGTGGCTCCAGGGAGCAAAAAAAACCTCGCTTGCCCATCCACGACCCGGTCTTCACCAGCACGCACAGTGGCCGAGCCGATTAGCCCATCGCCGCGCCCTCCCATTCCAGGGCCCCGCAGCCCTCACGCGATGGCGGCAACCAGATCGCCCACGGAGGAGAAGCCATTGCGCCGGCCTTGTCTCGGCCGCCACGGTTCGCAGTGAGTACCCTTTCTTCTCCTCTCACCGGTGACTCCGTGTGACTTCTTGGCATTGTTTGTCCTTCCTGTGGACAAAGAAGCATGAAGACCCATTTTCAGATTTTCTGTGTTCTCTTGGTGTGTCAGTGCGTTGCGTGTGTGCCTAGCCCTTCATGTGTTTGTGCATTTTAGGTGCTCGATAAAATGCCGCTTACAAAGAGAAAAAAAAACCGCCCACACATGAACCAAAGAGCTTTGTCGTGGTGGTCTCACCGGTTATGCCACCTTTGCCACTCTACATACATCTATTGGACACGGCATGCTCTGCTGTTCGCCAGCATGGGGGTACCTGCTAGTTAATTTGATGAATTTGGGTTTTATCGTATAATCGTAGGATAGTGAATTTATGCGGCAAACATCTTGCTTCTAAATTACCAACTTATATATACCAATATACCACAATAATAAAAAAAATAATACAGAGTCTTGACCTATTGGATACGAGCTATGCTTCTAAACATTTATGCCTTCCAGTAGTATCCCGGACCGTGGTGGGCGGCATGGCGCCACCGGAACCAGAGCCATGTCGCCCGAGTGGCTTCCTGATGGGTAAGTAATTGTGTTCTATCTCGGTTTCTTGTTGTGTTGAACCCTAGATAGCTTCCGATTTGATACTGCGTTCATCTGTAGGATGGATCCAAAAACAAGTTTCTTCCTTGATATGAAATTGTTTGGTAACAATACTAGAGTGGAGGGTGGTCGGTATAGTACCAAAGAAGGTTGTAGACAAAGACTATACTAATTTCGAGGACTTCATTGATGATATCTTGCATTCATACCCTAAAGGCTACGATGATGTTGTCAAACCGTTTCTACCTTGCCGATGAATCCCATGTAGAAATCGTAATGATTTAGGAGGCGCTTGCAATGTTTGCTAAGCATGAGAGCTCTAAAGTCATCCGCATGTCCATTGGCTACTTTGATACTAGGAAGCCACATGTTCCTCCTCCTGATTGGAACATATCCAATGTTGTTATTTCTGATGTTGTGCCTTGTACACCTTCTTTGCCACAAAACCCTCCTCTCAAAGCTATCACACAAGGCACCCAACCTACAAAATCTGATTCCCATGGTACCCAACCTACAGAAACAACTAATGACACATTGGACACATATCTTGTGAATCCTTTCCCACAAAATGAGCATGCTGGAGATGATGATGATGATGATGATGAGGGTGATCATGAAACTGCATGTCCTACACAGCCAACGCCCAAAGGAGACTATGTGCCCAGCTCTGATTCTGAATCAGGCTATGGAACTGATGATGCCTCATCTGATGAGGAGCAGCAGGACCCACCCCAGCCTATAGAACTAGAAATTGTTTATGATGTTAATGACCCACCAATGGTAGTAGGCAGCATTTATCCCAACATGAATGTGTTTAAGTTGGCTATTGCTCGGCATTCAATCAAGCATGAGTTTGAATATAACACTGAGAAGAGTGATCCAGGGAGGTTTAAGGCACATTGCTCATCCAAATCAGAAGGGTGTCCGTGGAGGATCCATGCATCAACAATGCAAGACAAGGTTACAGTAAAGGTAAACGCGAGTCCTTTCCAATTTTTTTTACATATTTATGATGCTAACGACATTGAAGGTTAAGGATTGGTTAGTGGAAGATGCTAGCATTGGACCTAAGGAACTACAGAGAAGGATCAAAGATACACATAAAGTTGTTGTGTCATATAAAAGGTTTTTTATGGTAAAGAGTTGGCGCTGAAATAATTATTTGGTGATTGGGACACTAGCTTCAACAACCTATACAGATTCAAAGCAGCAGTTGAAGAGGCATGTCCTGGTAGTTTAGTCGTCATAGATCACTACACCATCGAGGAGAAGATCAGGTTTAGAAGGCTATTTTTTGCACTAAAACCATGTGTCAATGGTTTTCTTAGAGGATGTAGGCCCTATTTGGCTGCTGATAGCACATTTTTGACTGGTAAGTTCAAGGGTCAGCTAGTAGTAGCTTGTGCAGTAGATGGGCACAGCTGGATGTATCCAGTTGGACTTGGAGTGTTTGACTCAGAGACCACTGAGAATTGGAGTTTGTTTTTTCAGCAACTCAAGAATGCTATAGGCACACCACCAGGATTGTCGATATGTACTGATGCAGATCAAGCAATCATGGCAGGTGTAGCTGCTATTTTTCCAAATGTAGAGCATAGGAAGTGCATGGTGCATTTGGTTAGTAACTTTAAAAAGAGGTATCATGGAAAGGTATTTGATAAAAACTTGTGGCCTGCTGCATATTCTTGGAATTCATACTATTTTAACAAGCATTGGCATGAAATGGTTGAAGCTAAACCTGCTGCAGTGAAGTATCTAAGGCAAAATCACACCAAATTGTGGACCAGAAGCCAGTTTTCAACTCTATCTAAGGTAGATTATGTCACTAACAATCTAGCTGAGAGCTTCAACAACTGGATCAAGAGTGAAAAAGATTGAAACTTAGATGATCTTATGGACGTGATCAGACAAAAGTTCATGGTCAAGTGGAATAAAAGGAGGAAAATTGCACGAAAGATGGAAGGCAAGATATTACCCCATATTGTGAAAAACCTAAAGGAGAGGAGCAGAAATTTGGATATGGATGTGCTTGAAGGTTCAGATGAAATTGGAGAGGTGATAAGGAGGGGCGGCTCAGGTTTCAGGTATGCTAATTACCTTGTTGGTTTTATTTTAATTAATCTAAATCCTTGCTGGTCACATGTTTATGATGCTAATTACCTTGATGGTCTTATTTTAATTAA